TTACGGGCCCCCCAGAATTTTTCCCGCGTAAATTCATAACTCGGGACTTTGAGGCGCTAGAAAGCTGAAATTTTAGGAGAATGTTCCCCGTCCAAGCAGGTGCTAATGAGCTCAAATCCAGCCCCTGGGTAAGCATGGTACCCGCGTACGAGCCCCCCAAAATTTTCCCGCGTAAATTGATAACTCGGAGCTCTGAGAAGCTTGACAGCTGGAATCTTAGGGGGGTGTTCCCAGTCTAAGTGGGTATTAACGAGTTCAAACACTGCCCGCGGGTAAGCGTGGTACCTACGTACAGGCCCGTGAAAAGTTCCGGGTAAGTTAATTACTCGAGAACGTGAGAAGCTAGAAGATTGGAATTTTGAGGGGATTTTTCTTGTCAGTTTTGGCGGCCAGTCTGAAATTCTTTCAGCTAGAAGCGTCTGCCGAAAAACTGATGCCAGTAGCGACAAAAATCTGTGGGGAACTCTGCAAAAAACGCATCTTCGCACGGGCAGCCCGTGCGTTGGCCATTTATTATAATCTGCTGCTGATTTGAACTGGTCAGCAGGAATCTGACAACATGAATAAGTAATTTGCAGTGCAGTCGTAATCAAGTACTGTGAGCTACGGAAACAGTTTTTGCATGTAGGCTTCGGGTTTGCTGCCTGTTGTGAAATCACCCCCCGTAAAAATTCCGAGAGCAGAACTAGTTTGTTGGCTGTCCTCCCAGGATCGTCAAAACTCGAGGCTATTTTTGATATTTTTGACATAGGGGAACACGGCACTGCATGTAGCGGGTATTCTCGACTTGTAAAATTTTGCCGACTCTCAGCCTGAGATCATACTGAGACAGATCTGTGTCTCGGCAGTCCATTTTTGCAGCTCTGCGTACTGCTTAAGCTATGCTTTGAAAAAATTCGTCGTCACAGCTTACATAGTCATTGAGCTACGTTATGCGCAAAATCAGTTAGAAAAGGGCAGAGAAGCATATGCATACACATATACCTCATCATCAGTTTTGTTCCGTTCGAATGGCGCAAAAACGCATTAAATTATGAGTATCTTTTGGAAAAGTGTTGGAAGGATAGAAAAACGTACTTCGTCCGGTACCACAAACAAAAAATACTACCTGTGGCTTGGGCAGAGTTTCAGGGTGCTCAGCGGCCTTTCGTGGTTCGTCCTTTACTGCTGCCGATTTCTTTGTTTTGGCTGGGCGTGTTGCGGGTGGTGCTCCTGGGCTACGAACTAGCTTTCGTTTCTTCTTTTTTATCTGCGGTGCCTCCAACTGTGCAAGCATCACACGCAGTTTGCTGCCTGGGCTTCGTGCCTCGATCAGATAGCGCGGTATCTCGATGGTAGCACGCTTTTGCTGTGGCTGCTGCTTCCCACCGTCTTTTCCTTCCGCCAGTGCTGGGAAAATTCGGTCCTTGTAAAATTTAATCATTTGCATGCCGCCGCCGGTAAAACTCGGATATCTGTGCAGTGATGGGCCAAAATCAATGAGGTGTTCTCGGCTGGATGGACTACTACTGAGCGGAGTTGTAGCATGAGCGTGAGGGCCACTGCTCAGCGCTTTTGTAGCCGCTGCTTCCTTGGAGCCAGTGCTCGATGTCGATTTTATTGAGTCCTTGGAAACGCGGGTTCCTGAAGATGCGGGAGCATGTGGATTTGTACTGCTAGCAAGTGCCATTATTGCCAGTATTCTTTTCACGAGATTAGATGTAGACAGGTACGTGTCCAGGCAAGACTTTGTCAAGTATATTTGTACAAATACAGGGGTCCTGAAAATTGATTAATAGTAAGCGATGTTATTCTTTCTTGTCTCGAAAATCTTTGAATTCTTCAAAAATATAACTCAGCGGGAGTTCCCCTACGCGGTGGAATTTGCGGCTGGCAGGCTGGAAGGAAATGCCCTGTCAAAATTTGATACCAGGAGCTTTACGCAGATCTGCTGTTAATTTCTGCTATTGCTTGTGAATGCTGAAGCTTGCTAAGGACGCATGTTTTACGAAGCAAACAGATTTTCACCGTCGTTTCCTAGAGCAGCCGCTTCCTATTGAAAATTATCTAAAAACTGAACAAACTTGCAACCACTTCCTCTTTTCATGCATAAAAACTTCGCTGAGGTCAAGACTAATTTACATTACAAACACTTCTAAGCAAGCAAATATTAAGGGGCATAGCAAAGGGCACTGGGAGTGTTCCATCATTTTATGCTTTTTTTGTGCGTTTTTGCATATATGTAAATTGCAAAAACGCATATTGGGAAGAGGCTGTGTGTGTGTTTCGCACTTTTTGTCACCCACTTTCAACTCGAGACCCAGAAAAGCTAGAAAGCTGAAAAACTTTAGAGGTAATGCCTATACTATGCGCGACCCTCCCGTTTTAATTTCATCCCTCTTGGACGCCTAGGTGCCGCGTACGGACGTTTTAAAAAAATACGCAAATTTTTCGGCGAGAAAGCGATCTCGGGAACAACACGAGCTAAGGGGCTGAAACTTTGTGGGGATACTCCCTGCGCATATACTAGCTAAAGATTTCAAATTCAGCCCCCAGTTGTACGTGGTACTCGCCTAAGGGCGTATGAAAATTTTAGGGGGAAAATTGCTAACTTGGGTACCAGGAAAGCTAGAAAGCTGAAATTTTGGAGGAGTGT